AGACAGATTCTTGCTCTGTCGCCAGGCTGGAGTGCAGTGGTGCAATCTTGGCTCACTGCAACCTCTGCCGCCTGGGTTCAAGCAATTCCCCTGCCTCAGCCTCCCAAGTAGCTGGGACTACAGGCACACACCACGATGCCCAGCTAATGTTTTAGTAGAGACAGGGCTTTACCATGTTGTCCAGGATGGTCTCGATATCCTGCCCTCCTGATTCGCCTGCCTCAGCCTCCCAAAGTGTTGGGATTACAGGTGTGAGCCACCACGCCCAGCCTGAATTAAATTTTAAAGAGAAATTGTACCTTAAATTGTAATTGTCCTATTTTAAAAATATTTAAATAAATTATATTAGTAATTTTTATGTTTATTTAACTATACAGTTATGTGTGTAATGAGCCAGACATGGTGGCACATGCCTGTAACGTCAACACTGTGGGATGCTGAGGTGGAAGGACTGTTTGAGGCCAGGAGTTTGAGAACAACCTGATCAACGTGGCAAGAGCCCATCTCTACCAAAAAAAAATAGCAGGGTACAGTGGCACTCACCTGTGATCTCAGTCACTTGGGAAGGTGAGATGGGAGGATTGCTTGAGCCCAGGTGCTTGAGGTTGCAGTGAGCTGTTATCTTCCCACTGCACCCCAGCCTGGGTGACAGAGCAAGATCTTGCTTTACAAAAAATAAAAAGAAAGAAAACAAAAGAAAGGAAGCTATAAAAATTGGAGAAAACTAAATATCCTTCAGTTTTATTGAGTGTAACATTTCATAAAAATAAGAATTAATTTCTTAATAAAATCTAATATTCTAACACATATAAAAACATTGTTACTATGTGTGGCATAAAATAACATTTATTATTACACTATAACTAAAAAACACTGTTGTCAGAAAAGCCTTCATTTTGTATCTGTCAAGATCATGGAATTCGTATTTAAGAAATATGAAAGAGAAAATGAGAATGCAGTTCTTATTTTCTATTCCATTATACCAGTTTCCAATTTGGGGAAAAGGGAGCACATCATTTCTGCAAACCTTTTCAAAAAAAAGTCTAATTATGAGTAAAGTCAAAGTAATAAATACAGTAAAAATATGGTTTGCCTCCATTATGTTACATATCAGCTACATTTGCTCTAATGCTCTGTGTTATGCTTTCTTTTGCCCTATGCCTTAGATGTGAAACACTGTAGTTAGAAGTTTTTCAATAAATATAACATATTTATTGATTACACAACTAATTATGTGATTTTGGAGAAATTGCCTATGTTTAGTAGCCATATATTACTACGTTATTCTGAAACAGTAGCAAGGTAAGCAACTGGATAGTCTTCTCAAATCACTCATCTTTATAAAACTCAGTGATCAGAAAACAACCCACTATACAACACATCCCAATCCTGAGTTTTCCTGTTTGGTCTAATGACATTTTTTTTTCTTCTTCTTACGCGAAAAACCAAAGTAAAGATTTTTTTTTTTTAAATCTGGTTTCAAATTTAGGATGACAGTTCATGAAAACTGAAGATGAAGCCTCAGAGGGTTGGGACAAAAACTTTCCACAATTGGGCTCTTTTCTTCCAGCTTCTAAAATCACCTCTATTTAAACCAGCACACACCAACTATGACGCCTAGACAGATGAGAAAGATAACCTACTAGATATAATTTAAAACCAATGAAAATCAAGAATAAGAAAGTTCAGATGAGAGATTTACTTACATGTAGAAGATTGGCTCAAGTCAATGAATCTAACACATGCCGACAGCAGAGAGCAGGGAGAATGCTCTTTCTGTCTAAGCCATTCAAATATTAACCTGCATAACATTTACATGAAAAATCCATGGTCCAGCCCATTTGCTTTTGACAGCAAGAGTCTAATGTAGGGTGGGGTAGCAAAGGTAGTCATGGAAAAAATGAAACAGATTCTCCCATGGGCTGGGTCAGCAAACACAGGAGACACACACACACACACACACACACACGGCAACATTATTTCAATATTTAGATAGAACAACAATAAAAAATAACTTTTACGATTAATTGACCTAATCACCCAGGATTACTTTATTTTTGCTCTTTTATATGAAATACTACACTACAGATTTTGTGATCAGAAACCTTCTACTAATAAACATTTATGATTCCAAAGTAATGTTCACTATTTGATCCATTTTAGGCAACTGATGATAGTTAAATAAATTAATGTGATTTTCTGAGAACAAAAAAGTAACAAAAAGAGTCTATATACACTTACTTCTGATTTGACTCAGTGTCTGTTTAAATGTTCCAAAAAGAGGAAGAATGCTAAGTTGAATTTTAAACAATTAGAACTACTGGAACCCAAACAAAGCTAAATTTGCTTATAGTTTTTTTTTTTTGTTTGTTTGTTTTTAGTTCTAACTAAAGTAATACCACACCCTCAGATCTACAGGACACACCCACCACTTTCAGGTTCATTTATAATACAGTTATCAGTCAACTTCTACATGTTCCAATTTTGCAACTGGCAGTGTTATTTATTCTCCAAGGTTATTAATGCTGCACCCACACATAACTTGAAAGAACAGGATAGACCATGGCCATAACATCTGAGATATTTTTAAATTGATCCTGTTCTTGGCCTTAATAAATCACCTCCTCCCAGTGATAGTGTATCTTAGACAAAAACATGTAATAACATGAAGGATAACTCAAAGAGAGACAAGACACTTAATATTTGGTATATGTAATATTTTTTTAACAGCCAAAAGAAAAACAGAGAAACTCATCTCCAGATCACTGGCCTGTTTCAAGATACCCTCTGCCTTCATGCTGCTGATAATTCTGATTCTGGGTGATATGAGCAGCTAGTTTTCTTTTTGAGAGTTTACTATGATCCAGGTGTTTTGCACACATTACAGAGTATCTTGGTGGGGTCAGAGCTGAGACTGAAGTACAGTAGAAGGAAGAATCAATTTTGTTGTCATAGAACAGTGTGGACAACAAACCGAAAGAACTGCAGAGATGTGAGTGGTGAAACCAACTTCTTTGCCCCACACGTTCTTGAGAAGTTAAAAGTCTGCTTGGAAGCCACTAGTCACTGAGGCCTGAAGAACACAGGGATATATTCAGTATGCACCTCTGGAGATTACTGGAAATGTCAGGAAGCAACTCCTTGAAAAGAAAGGGCTTCTTAGTCGTCAGCAAGTGGGGAGACAAGGCACTGAGAGGCAGTGTCTTGCCTGTAAATATGACTGACCTACTTGGTCTCTTCCATGGACTGGTTAGGTCACAATCAGTGATATAGATCTATGGAAATGTATACATGCAATATATGTGTGTGTGTTTATTTGAATCCTCAAAAGAACTATGATAATCAATATCTTTCTTTCACAGGGGACACAGCAAATTCAGACAGGTTAGGCCATGTGTCCGAATTCACACACAAGTAATAAAGTCAGTCTTGAATCTAGGTGTGCTTCGTTCTACAGCCTATGCTATGTGGGTAAAGATTCCAGGCCATTACTAAGAAAAATTTCAGATAAATACAAAAGTAGACAGAATTAAGTATCTAATGAATCCTGGTATATCCATCACGCAGATTCAACAATTACCAACCTACGGCCAATCTTGTTTCAAACTCTCCCCCTCTCAACCTACACCTGCCTTGTTTTGAAGCAAATGCCAGACATCATAACATTTTTGTCAATAAATATTTCACAGTGAATCTCCAAAAGATAAGGACTGAAAATAATTTGTTTCCTTCTTTCCTAACTACACCCAAATATCCCAAATAAACTAATTTATTGGGTCAATAAAGAAGTTCTTTTTTCCTCAAGAATGTCCCAAACAGGGCTCCAAATTATTTTACTATGAGATATTTTTTTTTGAGACATTTAACCTTGTTAGCATTCTCTGCTCTCTCAAAAACTTGCTTATGAATAATGATGTTCACTTTTATCTTGCATTGTGCCTTCCGGAAAGATATTAGAAGATAGCTCCCTCTGTGATTATGGGGAAGGAACAGAAAGTAAATCTCAAGTTCTTAGGAGCACCAGTCTAAAGAAGTGAGTCAGAAAGCAGTAGTTGAGTGCTCACTCTCAGTGTTTCAAACAGACCTTGTAGTGAGTACAACCTAAATAAATAGGCATTCGACAAATATTAATGGCAGCTACCGTATGCAATCCTATGCAGGGTGATACACGTGCATGGCCAAATAAGGGCACTGTCCAGCCATTTTATCACCTAATACACGAATAAATATAAGAAAGTAAGTAACTACAATGCAAACCAGCATACAGGTGACAAGAAATGGGGGATGCAGAGAGTTAAGAGGGTCTCAAAGACAGGAATCTGCTTAGTTTTTTTCTAAGTGGGATCGTTGAGAAACAAGGAAACAGGCCTGAAAACATGACTTTTCCAGAGTCACACAGAGGCCAACCCACAGAAAAACCTCATCTCCCCACTCTTAATTCATTATGATTTCCACCTCAGGAAGGACTGGATATGCTTGGATGTCAACATTTTATGCTACCACAAAAAAGTTTTTATAGGATTTTGAAATGGACCTTGACAGCTGAATAGAATTTTGACAAATGGAAAAGTGTATATTGTTCTGGGCAAAGAAAACAGCACAAACAGGTTTGTGTGATATATTCTGACAATACGAGCCACCTGATTTGGCTGAGGAACAGCATAACCATACGCAATGATGGGAAAATAAAGGTTAAAAAGATAGATTGCAACCAGTTTAGAGAGAGACTCAAATACCAGGGGAAGCTGTAATGAGGCTGTAGAGATTGACAGAATCCATCATTTAGAGCTGAGGAACTAAGAAAACACCATCATTTGGGGGGTCCATTGGGATTTATATCTTATATTTACTCTAATCCCCTGTACTTTTTGCCAATGAGAATGCTTAGAAAAGCGTTTTCTAAGGAGAGCTTTCTATTTGCTTAAGAGATGATGTGAGTATAAAATGATGGGAGGAGGGGAGTTTCTCAAAAGACAAGGGGCAGAGGCAGAGAGTACAGTTACCAGGCTGTCGAAATGCTCCAGTGGAGCAGAAACCGGGAATGGGAAGGTTGAGAATTGGTGGTTTCAGTCACAAGGTACAGCCAACAGACTAATTCCAGGGCTGTTGCAAACTACAGAAGAAACAGCACAGAATACAGCAAGAAAACCTTCAGGGAACCTACAGGAGCATGTGATTGGAGCCTCGATTATGATGTTAGCTCCTATTTTTTTTTTTTGAGATGGAATTTTGCTTTTGTCACCCAGGCTGGAGTGCAATGGCACAATCTCTGCTCACTGCAACCTCCACCTCCTGGGTTCAAGCGATTCTCCCGCCTCAGCCTCTCGAGGAGCTGGGATTACCGGTGCCTGCCACCATGCCTGGCTAATTTTTGTATTTTTAGTACAGACAGGGTTTCGCTATATTGGCCAGGGTGGTCTCAAACTCCTGACCTCAGGTGATCCACCCACCTCAGCCTCCCAAAGTGCTGGGATACAGGCGTGAGCTACAGCGCCGGGCCCAGCTCTTATTTCTTACTGAGTCTCAAGACCACAGACAAAACCACTCAGTCACATATCCTACTCAATTTGGAGGTCCTTTTACATATAAAAGGCAGTACATTTCTTAGCCAAAAAACCACGTTCAAGGTAACACTAAGTGATTATGATTAAAATGTCTAAATTAAGTGTAATAAGAGCGGTCATGAAAAAGGCATCCTTTGAAGCTAGACAAATCTGAATTTTAATCTCAGGTTTGCTACTTACTAATTGAGTGATTATGGGCAAGTTATTTAGCTCCCTCAAATTCAGTTGCCTCCTTTGTAAAAAGCAGAGAATTGTGGAGAATATTAATCACATGGCATGTGGAAACGGTTTTGTACAAAGTTCCTGGCACACAACTGATATTTGTTTCTTCCTTCTTAGTAAAATCAGTGCCAGATAAAAGGGAAATTACTAATAACCAAACATCCTGTAAGCTTCCAAGTTCAACTTCCTTTACTAAAACTTTATAAAAACTGCTAGGTAAGAGCAAAATATATTAAAAAATTTTTTTGAATTTATATTTATTTTTATTTTTATAGATGAAATCTTGCTCTGTCACCCAGGCTGGAGTATAGTGGCACAATCTCAGCTCACTGCAACCTCCACTTCCTGGGCTCAGGCAATTCTCCTGTCTCAGCCTCCCAAGTAGCTGGGATTATAGGTGCCTACCACCACACCCAGTTAATTTTTGTATATTTAGTAGAGAAGGAGTTTCACCATGTTGTCCAGGCTGGTCTTGAACTGTTGAACTCAAGGGATCCACCTGCCTTGGCCTCTAGGTAAGAGCAAAATAGATTTATTTCCTTTTTCTTTCTTTTCCTTAGCTACTCAACCAGACATGTATTTATGAACAACAACAACAACAAAACTGCCATACACACACTTAACAAGAAGAATAACAACAACTTGTACAATTCAACAGTAAAAAGACATATAATCCCATCTTCAAAATGAGCTAAGGATCTGAGTAGACACACCTCCAAAGAAGTTATACAAATGGCCAATATACAGATGAAAAGATGTTCAACATTATTAATTATTAGAGAAATGCAAATCAAAAATACAATGAGGTGTCACTTTGCACCCACAAAGATGGCTTTAATAAAAAATAGGCAAGTATTTAGTGAGGATACAGAGAAACTGGAATACTCATACATTGCTGTTGGAAATGTAAAAGGATACAGCCACCCTGGAAGTCTGTTCTGCAGTTCCTCAACAACATTAAACATAGAGGTACCATCTGATGCAGTAGTTCTGCCACAGGAATACACTCAAAAGAATTAAAAACATATTTACACAAAAACCGATACATGAATGTTCTTAATAGTGTCACTCGCAGTAGCCGAAAAGTAGAAACAACTCAAATACCCATCTGCTGATGCATGGAGAAACAAAATGTGGTATGTATCTACACAGTGGAATATTATTCAGCCATAAAAATGAAGTACTGACATCATGCTATGACATGGATGAACCTTGAGAACCTTATGCTAACTGAAAGAAGCCAGGCACAGGAGACCACATATTGTATGATTCCATTTATGTGAGATGTCCAGAATAGGCAAATCTATAGGACAGAAAGTGGATTAGTGGTTTTCTAGAGCTCGAGGTTTGAGAAAGGAGGAAATAGGAGTGACTACCAATGGGTATGCAGTTTATTTCTGGGGTGATCAAAGTATTCTAAAATCGATTGTGGTGATGGTTGTACAACTCTGTGAATATACTGAAAGTCATTTAAGTGAATAATTTAAATTAGTGAATTGTCTGGTGGGTGAGTTATATCTCAATTAAAATATAAAGGAGTCCAGGTGTGGTGGCTCATGTCTGTAATCCCAGCACTTTGGGAGGCCAAGGCAGGTGGATCACAAGGTCAGGAGATTGAGACCATCCTGGCTAACACAGCGAAACTCCATCTCTACTAAATATATAAAAAATTAGCTGAGCACGGTAGTGCGCTACTGTAGTCCCAGTACTAGGGTGGCTGAGGCAGGAGAATCGCTTGAACCCGGAAGGCAGAGGTTGCAGTGAGCTGAGATTGCACCACTGTGCTCCCGCCTGGGTAAAAGAGCAAGACTTCATCTCAAAAAAAAAAAAAGTAAAAGCAAGAAGAATGATGGACTGAAACAGAACTACCTGCTCCATTTGATTGAGAAGATCACCAGCCTCACGCTGCAGACTGAGAAAGGCATTCCAACCACATCTCAATGACGACCTAAGTGACCTTCTCACATTATTTAGTGTTATTCTCTTCTTAGGCAGAAAAGTGGCATTAACACCTAAATTTGCCAATTAGTACATGACTAGTCATGGGCATGGCCCAGCTTTGTGGTCTTTTTGACAAAGGGTACCAGCCCCTCAAAGATTATCTAGACTTGGCCCCAATACTTGGAGAATCAACAGGATCTGAGGCTTCTTACAGTCATTAGTGAATTTAAGTCTCAAACCAGCCTGCCTCTCAAACAAAAATTGAACCCACTTCATCAAAATCTCCTTTTGGTTATATAACCCACAGTATATACAAAACACAGGGTAGAAAGCCATCAAATTAAATAATTTTTACTTTTTTGACTTCAATCAAAGGTTGCTATTTCTTATACATCTGAATTTTGGGATAGCAGACTCAAACTTGGTATAAGAATATCCATAATACTTAAAAAATAAAAAAAGAAAGTGAAAAATAATACCAATAGAAGAGCAGGATATGGTAATACTGAAAATGAAACTAAAATCCAGTCCAATACTCACTTCCATACTTGGCTCATCATTCATCCTGATGCAGCCCGAGAGATTTGTTCCTTGGTTGGGACCACTTGTGGGGCCTGGGCACCTGGCAGTAGAAAGGAGAGTTAATTACTACAGGCGAAAAAACTGCAAATTTTAGCAGATACTAAACAATAACATAGTTCCCACTTCCCTACACCCAGTCCTGATTTCATCAAATTTCTAATTAAGTTCTTGGTTTAAGTAAGACATTATGAAAGAGAGTTCCCACCTCCATCAGAGAGAGGTTACAAATAACAGAGAATCCAGCCAAAAATGAAAATGAAACATTTGCAATTCAAAGCCATCCTTCCTCATCCTCAATACGGAAGGGAAATTTTATTGAGGTAGATTAGGTCCTCACAAAATGCACTGACATTTCTGAATGTTTCCTAAGGGAGATGAGTCTGTATACTTAAAAAGGCAGGTGCAAATGAGCACCAAAGGAGGATGGGGGCAGGGACAGATATAGGTCCAAAGCCTTGTTAACCTTGAATGTGAAAGAAACAGAAATAGGATCAAAACCTGCTTAAGTTAACTTAGCAGGATGTCATTGATATTGTGTTCTATGCCCCCAGTTCCTGAGACAGAACTCCTAACATCATTGTAGACAGAGGTGCTAGGGGAATCTTTATTCTAATATTTTTGTCTCTGACCATGGTTCCTGATACACAGTGCCTAAGACCTTTGTAATTTCCTGATAGGTGTGTTTGATGCAGAGCTCCTGAATCTCCTGAATTTCCTAGGTAGTAGGAGCATCTTCTGTTCTAAAGAGGTATCTCTTGGTGGGCTTCTGGATAGCCTTAGGATGAGGGGCTGGTTGCCAGGGGAACCAACCTGTGGTTAGAGGACTGAAACTTTCAACTTCACCCTGCCAAACTCCTGGGAGGGGAGAGGGGCTGAGCCGATCACCAACTGCCAACGATTTAATTAATTGTGTCTAGTAAAGCCTCCATAAAAACCCTAAAGGACAACACTTGGAAAGCTTCTGATTTGGTGAATCGAAACATAGCCATGTGCGGGAAGGATGACACACCCTAACTCCACAAAGACAGACCCTCCTGTGCTTGTGACATTTTCAAACCTTTCTGACATATCTCTTCATCTGGCTGTTCATTTCTATCTTTTAAAATAGGCTTTGTCACCTGGCACAGTGGCTCATGCCTGTAATCTTAGCATGTTGGGAGGCTGAGATGGGAGGATCACTTAAGTCCAGGAGTTCAAGACCAGCCTGGGCAACATGGAAAAACCTTGTCTCTACGAAAAATTCAAGACTGGGTGCGGTGGCTTACACCTGTAACCCCAGCACTTTGGGAGGCTACGGTGGGCCGATCACCTGAGGTCAGGAGTTCAAGATCAGCCTGTTAAACATGGCGAAACCTTGCCTGTATTAAAAATACAAAAATCAGCCTGGTGGGGTAGCATGTGCCTGTAATCCCAGCTACTTGGGAGGCTGAGACAGAAGAATCACTTGAACCCAGGAGGCGGAAGTTGCAGTGAGCCGAGATCAAACCACTGCGAATCTCGCCTGGGTACCTGAGTGAGACTCTGTCTCAAAACAAAGCAAAAAAAAAACAAAATTAGCTGGGTGTGGTGGTGGGCACCTGTGGCCTCAGCTACTCAAAAGGCTGAGGTGAGAGAATCACCTGAGCCCAGGAAGTCGAGGCTGTAGTGAGCCCAAATCACTATTGTACTCTAGTCTGGGTGACAGAGTGAGGCCTTGCCTCCAAAAAAATAAATAAAATAGACTTTGTAGTAAGTGGGTAAATGTAAGTGAAGTGTTTCCCTGATTTCTGTGAGCTACTGTAGTAAATTGTTTGAACCCAAGAAGGGGGTCATGGGAACCCCCAATTCATAGAGAGTTGGTCAGAAGCACAGGTCACAGTCTGGGACTCGTAAGTGGCATCTAAAGTAGGGGCCAACCTTGTGGGACTGAGCCCTTAACCTGTGGAATCTGATGCTGTTTGTAGGCAGATAATGTTGGAATTGAACTGAATTACTGGACGCCCATTTCATGTCT